ACCCCCGTTCCCTCCCGAGACTTTCTCGCATGTTAATCAGGAATCGCGCTCTCGCTTGGGATTTCCTTCAAATTTATTCAGGAATCGCTCTCCCGGCGCTCTGGAGTCGCGCTCTCGCTGGAGACTTGCTTGCAACTTACTGAAGAATGGCCTTGCGTTGGAATTTCCTTGCCCAAGCGCCGCGCTCCCGACACCCAGGCACCCAGGAGTCGCGCCCGTTGTGGCCCCATGTGCATGCCCTTCGTGGCCCCGCTGTCGCCATTTGTGTCCCCCTCACTGCCCTACGTGGCCCAGGTGCTACCCTCAGTGGCCCCATAGTTGCCTTCTGTGGCCCCGCATTATCTGCACTTCGTGGCCCCCGCTCGTTCGCAATCTTCGTGGCCCCATACGCATTCTCTTCGTGTCCCCGCTGGCGCCCTTCGTGGCCTACTTCGTGTCCTTCGTGGCCCTTCTGTCGTTGTCTCTCGCTCTCGCTTTCGCTCGTCGTCGCCGTCGTCGTCGTCGTCGCCGTCGTCTTCGACGTCGTCGTCGTCGTCGTCGTCGTCGTCGTCGTCGTCGTGGTCGGTCCCCTGTCCGTCCCTCTTGGGGTCGGGTCGACGGTCCGCGGCCGCCCCGCCGATCAGCGCTGCCGCTGGCCAGGCCGACGGTCCGCGGCCGCCCCGCCGCTTGCCGGGGCCCGGCCTGCAGGGAAGAAAGGTATACCCCCAAAAGGGGCTCGATCGAAGACGAAGAGGGCGGGTATCGAGGGTTTGGGACATACGCGTTATTGGACACTCGAGCATATAAGGGCGAACGATCTTAAATTTATTGTTGTGGTTGTTGTGGTTGTTGTTGTTGTTGTTGTTGTTGTTGTTATTGTCGTTGTCGTTGTCGTTGTTGTTGTCGTCGTCGCCGCCGCCGTCGTTGTTGTTGTTGTTGAACATTATTTATTCTAAAGAATAATTATTGTTGGGCCCCCTGGTGCGCGCCCCCCCTGCGCCGCCTAGGCCGCAGCTACATTTTCATCATTTTCGTGAGGAAGCCTCAGAAAAGAGGGTGTGTACAGGATCCGGTTGTTTTGTTGTAATCCGCTTTCCCTTGCAAAAAACAATAGAAAATGACATTTCTTGTTCTAATATAATCAAATTTCAAGAATCCCTTGCAAAAAATAAGGTAAAGTGGACATTCGCGCGCGCAAGACGAAATCCTTCCAAAACCTTAGTGTTCGCAGCGATTTTAACATAAAAACATCAAAAAACCAATGGTTTTTCAACAAAAAATTGTCAAAATCTCATCCCGCGCGCTCTTGCGGATTCGTAGGAAACCCAACACTTTTTAAACATTTCTGTCAAACGGGCTTTTGCGAGCAACTTTTTCGAACTTCTGCGACAACGGTTGCGCACCTGCCAGGGCCATCATCCCTGTCAAATAATACCATGCGGGACACATTCGTTTTTTCTTCGCGCGCGCACGCCGAAATCTCCAAAAACCATTGGGCTTCTTAAGAATTTTAGCACCGCGCATCATAAAATCACACGAATCGCACCGTAGGTCCTCGAAAAACACCTGCACGACTTTTCAAAATCTCTCTTCTCTCCTTTCCTCCTTGTCCTGCTCCTCCTCCTCCTCCTCCTCCGGCGGGGGGCGTGAGGATCCGGCATCGCTCACAACCATCGGGACAACCATCGGGACAACCATCGGAACAACCATCGGGACAACCATCGGGACAATCATCGGGACAGTCATCGGGACAACGATCGGGACAAGCACAACCATCAGGACAACCATCGGGACAATCATCGGGACAACGATCGGGACAACCACAACCATCAGGACAACCATCGGGACAACCATCGAGACAACCATCGGGACAACCATATCCTCTCTCTCTTGTGTATTCCCACATCCCTCAGGAATTTGCCCTAAAGATGTGATCAACTATCTTGTGAGTACGTATCATGTGTATCATGTGTATCATGTACCATATGCATCATATGCAACAGATGTTCTGTGGAAGGCTTAACAACTTCTGTGGGTTAACAAGGCTTAACAACTTCTGTGGGTGTACGAACGTAGGATTAACAACTTATGTGGGTGTGTACACTATGCCAGTGTAGTAGCCACGGTCGTCCGCAGGCCACGAAGTGAAGTGTCCGAACGTCATAGGGCGGGAAGCTGGGTGTGGGTGGTGGCGAAGAGTCGTGTGGATATTTGGTAGAGCTTGCACTGCCCCCCCACAAAGTGGGGGTATTGGCTGGCGTCGCATGAAAACCCTGGCACTGGTGAGAACACTGAGCGTTCGGGTAAAGTGATTGTTGTTGTTGTTGTTGTTGTTGGTGTTGTTGTTGTCGTTGCTGTTGCTGTTGTCGATGATTTTCCAGTTCTGAAGAATACATGTTGTTGATCCCCCTGGTAACATATGTGTTTTTCCACTTGAAGTGCCCCTCCTGGGGCTCGCACCTTGCTTTTCATGAAGGAAAGTGGGGAAGTCTTCCTGCTCAAGCTGCGCCTTTGGGCCCCGAGCTACAAAAACCATGGCTCCCGCCTGATCTTGTTTCGCATTTTATTGAAGAATCGCGCTCTCGCGCGGGACCCCTCTCACAATTTATTTACGAATCGCGCTCTCGCGTGGAATTTCCTCGCAATGTATTCAGACGATGCGCCCTCGGCGCTCAGGAATCACGCTCTCGCTTTCGGCTTTCTCACGATTTACTTGGGAATCGCGCTATCGCTCGAGACTTCCTCGCGCTTCATGCAGGACCCACGCTTCAGCAACCCGCCTGCTCGACCTGGTCGCCTGGGCCTGCTTTCCCGACCTGCCCGCCTTGGGTTCTGCCCACCCGATCTGCTCGTCTGGTTCTACCACTTGTTTTCTGCTCCTTGCCCCCCTCCTAATTTCTCTCGTGCTCCATTCTTCTCCCTCCCCCTTCCGCCCGTCCTCTCTGCCCCTGTTTCAGGGGCTGCACTACATGCACGTGGCAGTTAAAGAAGCTATACCCCCAAGGGGGTACGATCGAAGACGACGAGGGCGGGTACCGAGGGTTGGCGATGCACGTATTGATTTGCACGTGAGCAGATAGGAGCGAACAGTCTCAAACTTATTATTGTTGATGTTGTTGTTGTCGTTGTCGTCGTTACTGTCTTCGTTGCTGTTGCTGCTGCTGTTGTTGTTGCTGCTGTTTCTGCTGTTGTTGTTGCTGTTGCTCCTGTTGCTCCTGTTGTTATTGTTGCTGTTGTTGTTGTTGTTGATGGCGGCAGGCTACCTAAAGGCCTAGACGCCCTCGGCCGAAGGCCGAGAAAAGCAGTACGGGGTCAAGAAGAAAGAAGAGACCGCCCGTGTGGGGAACCGGAGGCCCCCACACGGGCCTCCCAGAGGCCTTTGGAGACCTCCGAGGTCTTTCGGGGGCCCCCAGGCCGTGCGGTGACCGCACCGTGCACGTGGCGAGTGGCCGCGCGGTTTTGGGACTTGGGCCGTTCTCCGAGGACGTCTTCCGGGCGACTTGGGCCTCCGAGGTCCCAAGGCTGTGCGGCGACGGACCGTGCGGTGAGGTCGTTGGGGATTCCAGGGTCACCGCACTGTCCGTCACCGCACAGCCTTAGGATCCCCAAGCAAATGTCAGAACTTATGATGTTCTAGACCTGCGAGGGTCTGTTGCGCTGTTTTTAATTATTTAGAAGGGTACATGGTGTCGACTCTTGTTTCGGTATATCACTGAACACAGTGTAGGTGCTGGTGTCGGTTGGCGCATGAGGTGTCAGAATAGTATCGTTGGCCCTGGGCCTTGCCAAGTGTAGAGTTGGACATAGTGCTGGTTTCATATAATGAATATCAGTAATGCGTTTATGGTTATCTGCATCTTTGTTGTTGAACATGTGTTGGCAATCGAGTGCGAATGCGTTTCCCTTAACGCTGTTTTGGCGCTAGGAGGCCGTGCCGAACCAATCCGCAAACCCCCTCCCTTCCCTCCTCCGTCCTCGCACATAGGCGTACCCGTGCGCTAACAGGCCCGTCCAAAGTGGTGAGAGAGAGGCAAGCCCCGAATATTTTTCGGCAATCGTTCGTTGAGTAGTATGCCTCTTAGAACGTGTTTCCCGAAGATTAGGTTTCAGATAGCTTCGACATTCGGTCCCGCACTACGTGAATATCTTCAATATCTTCAACTTCTCCTCTCTCGTGTTCTTCCCCCTCCGCCTGCAGCCCGAATCGTTGTAACCCGAGTTGCAGCCTCTGTGTAAGTGACCAGAACACAAACAAACAGTCCATACCCAGGATCAGACACCAAGGCGCCCAAACTCCGCAGCCATTTTGGCCCAATCGTCAGCACAGGGCCCGCCTTTGAGAAATGAGCAGAGTTTGTCCATCCGTGCCTGCCCAAGCGAGGGAGGCCACCAGGATCAGATCTCGAGCGAAGAGCATGGCAAGATATCCTGGACCAGTCCCGCCGCCGAGACGAGAGAGCCGACGCCGAAGCCGTCGGGGCGCCGCCTGCCGACACACGACGAGTCAACGGTGCCAGTGACGATAGCTACTACGGTCGGCCCAGACTAGTAGGTCGACCCTGCCAAATCAAGGGTGCCCTTGTGTCCAGTGTCTCGCGATCCATGCTTCCTACATTCCTGTGGCAATGTTGCCCTCGGAAGGGTCTTGTGACCTCTCGCGTGTCCTCTCCAATCGAGTCCGACTGTGCTGGGGCCAGTGCTGCTTCAGGCTCCCAGGCCAACGCGGCCTTGCCAACTCAATTGCTAGCGTTGTCCACAGCGTCGTCATCGTCGAAGACGTGCGGGCCCGCAGAATTTGTTCAGTCAAGCGTCGACTTTGGCATGGTCATCCACAAACGTGATGCGACAGGAAATGGCAATAGTCTTTTCGGTCACAGGTGATACGGCAACTGCGCGTCCATCTTGCGCCAGAACCACAGCAACAGTACTGAAACAGCTGGCTCGGCGTAGATCGGGTTGTTTTTTGGCCGCGAAGCGCTTCCACGGCCAGGCTCGGGTAGTCAGCGTGGATCATTGTGGAAGGAATTTGAAAGCAGAAAGGTCGTTGTGAGCAGATCTCAAGTGGATGTCGTTGGTGATCGGCGGTGAAGCCCACGCGGCTGCGTCTACCCATACCAAAGTCATCGATTTGTTTAGCGAGGACCTCACAGGTGTAATTCACTTCGTTTTGTCTGTGGAGCTAGCTGAGATGATGCAGAAGCTAAGGATGGCCCTAAACACCGTGATCAAGAACCGCTTGGTGTGGCCTCCTCCGCGTGGCGCGCCCTTTCTGGAGGCTGTGAGTTACAGGCTGCGGTGCATGCAGCCAGCCATCGACAGTTGGATGGTCACGCTTTTTCACCATGCAGTAACAAGTACTTTTGCGTGCCCTCCCTCTCGGTGATTGGAGGCTGCGAGATTGCGTGGAGGCCTCTGTGAGCGTCGCTGTGGCCCCTCTACCAGGCAAGGAAACCTTCGCTGAGAACTCCGCGGCCGCCCTTTCACGAGTCTTGTTATCTCATAAGCTTGCGACGTGCCCGGGGAGTCGTTCGTTGGGCGGGGTGGCGGCGCTCTCACAGCCCTTTTTGTTGCAAGCGCGTCAAGGACTATTGCAGCCCTGCGTTTGCCGAGTTGTGCCGCCTTGTGGGGGATGTCAAGGCCGTCTGCGATGGGCGCCTTCGCGTTGCCGCAACGCCTGTGGGGCTGCTTGGGTCCGTCTGTTCGGTCCCCCCTCCTTCAAACGAGCAGAGCATGCTTTCTGACTGGGTGGCTGGCGTCCCGGGCTCCATGGGGCCCCCGCCGCTAGAGTTCAAGCGGAAACGCAACTTGCGTTTGCGCTCCTGCGCGTGTGAGTGCGTATAGAATTGGCTTTCCACATCGGAATGCTTAATCGTGTTCGCGCGGGTAACTGGGCCCATGCCATTGCCCGCGTCTTGCCTTGGCGTCGGCTTGGGGCGACCCGAGTAGGGCAGAGCGGGCTAGATGCAATCGAGACAGCGTAGAGTAGAACAGAAGACGGAGTAGGAACCGCGCCCATGTTCGCATTTGGAGTCGGCGTTGGTAGACAAGCATACGATGGGCGATGGGTCGGGGAGGTTAGAGGGGGTGGGGGTGGAGTGGATAAAAGGGAGGGGCGGGATGGGGGGGGGGGAAGGGGGGGGGGTGCAGGCTCGGGCGCTCGTCCTGCCCAGGATGCCCCTCGCGCTGCTGGCGACGGAGTCCCGCCTATATGTGATGGCCCCGCGGTGGGCGGCATCGGCGACAGGTTCATGGCCCCCGCAGGTTTGGCGCCGCCCGAGTTGAACGATCACCGCGCAAGGAAAGCAGCGGGTGGGATGGCTATGCAAGGATCCATTTGCAAATCTAGTTTTGTTCGGAAATCTCTTGGCCCCTCTGCGGCGGCTGCAGCGAGGGCGCGTCAATGTTGGGGCCCCCATCTTACGAGAGACGCCAATGCGCTCTCGAAGCTGCAGCTGGCGGTGACGGATTCTCGGGGCAGGTTGTTCGGAGCTACCCGGTCTTGGAAGCTGCCGAGGGTGCAGGGGAGGAGGAGGCCATCAGAGGCGTTCGCATGTTGTTCAGATGTTCGCACTTGTGGTCTTTGATCCCTCGGAATGCTTGCACTGCGAATGCTGCGGGACTTGCGCTCGAGGGCTCGAGCAGAGCAAGTGCAAGTGGCTTGATCCACGCCAAACTGCGTTGCATCCACGAAAGCGTTCCAGACTGTTCCTGCTGGCGAAGAACCCCGCCCTCGGACCCGGCCTGAAACCGGGGGCCGACCTGCGCCAGTGACGTCTTCGCGATCGTCTTTTGCAGCGTGTGCGACTTGGAGGCCCCGTCGCCGCGGCGCGGATTGGCGCTGTTGGCGAATGTGGTTCGCATGGCCACCGCTGGCATTGAATGTCGGCGCGCTGCCCTCCGACGCCTGCTCCTGCGCGCGCGGGCGAGGGCAGCCGAGCTGGGGGCCCTGGCGGCGCTTGGGGTCGCTCAGAGATATAGGCGGCTGGCTCGCCAACACTTTTGGATGTTGGGGTCGAGTGTCGAAGGCGCTCTCTCGCAGTGCCCTGGCGCTGAAATTCCTGGCGAACCTTATGGGGCCGATGCGCCGCGGCGCGGGCAAACCGTTCCCCTGGCACTTGGATGACTTTCGTGGCATTCGAGACGGCAGGGGAGCAAGGTGCGCCCAACTTGGCGGAGTGGGCGGTTCGGTGCAAGAGCACGCGCGATGCGGGGCTTGCAGCGCGTGGACCGATATCTGAGGCAGCTACGAGGGCGATAGCGGTAGCGGCAGGGTGGTCCGCGTTCTCTGCGCTTGCTCCTCGGCGCGATGGCGCCCGGGAAGTTGCGGGAGGAAGGCGGGGCGACGTCCTCATGCGCGGCGTGTCTGTGTCGTGGGATCCCGCGCAGCGGAGGGCATTGCGCGACGAGCCTTTCTTGTTTGGGCAGTCCTTGGATGACCTCGGAGTGCGGCTCGCAGTTCGCTGGGGCGCAACGCGACGATCAGACGACCAAGTCATTGGGCCTGTCCAGTATTGTTGCGAATATGTCTTGCACTCCGTGCGGGTGCATGCGGACATGTCGGGTCGACCCCGACGTGCCCCGCAGTGATTTCAGGGTGTCGAACTTTCTCAAACAGCACGGAAGTACTTGCAACCTCGGGCCTGCCTTGGATTCTTAGTGGTTTGGCAGGCGTTTGCAGGTAGCAGGTGAGCCGCAAGGACTTCCCTACCATTGATAGCGACAGCGCTGGGACTGCGGTCTGTTGGGCGGCCGGTATTTGCGCGCTTTCAGATCGCGGTCGCAAATTACGCCTCTTTGGCAATAAGATGCGCGGCGTCGCGAAGCGTATCTGCAGTCGTGGGGCATCGAACTTCGAGGAACTTCGGTGCTCTACTGTGTTCATCCGCCTTCGTGGCCGCAAGCGTGGCAGTGGCCCTCGGGGCCCGCCCGGGGTCGAGCAGTTCTGGCGCGTCGCATGTGTTTCGCCCGGCCCGTGCGAGGTCACTTTTCAAGACGTGGCACGGGGCGGCAGCGAAGGTGGTGGCGGCGATGTGCTGTTGGAGTCTGTGGCAGGATAGTGTCGCCAGTGGGAAGCGTTCGACTTTTGTAAGCCTTCGCGTGATATGATATGGTCTTCGAGGTTTTACTGTCTTGACATGATTGATCGACCCATGGTCAAGGTCGCAATCAACGCCGCGCGAGCGTGCCGGCTGGGCGGCGTCGGCCGCCCGTTGCCCAGACGGCGGCCCCGAGGGGGGGGGGGGGGGGGGCGAACCGCCAGGTGCCGAGCCTCCAGCAGTTGGCGACCTTCCCGGCCCTGCCCCCGACATGGGGATCGAAGCTGTCCCCGATGGCGGTGGCGCTGGATATGGCCCTGGCTCGGCCGACGACGACGGCGCCGACGTCGACCTGGACCTTGGCGCCGTGGCCTGGGTGGGGGGCTCCGACCGCGATGGGGCGCCGTATGTTCTGGGGGACCTCGTCGGCGATGACGTCCTGGGCGCTGGGGGTTTGAGCGTTTTTGCGTTTCGCCTTGCCCGCCCAAAGGAGGGGTGAAGAGGAGAGGGGAGGGGGGGGGCGGGATGGGAGGCGCGCGGGGCGCGGGGTGGGGGTGGTGGCGGGGGGGGGGGGGGGGGATGGATGGAGAATGGGGGGGGGGGGGGGGGGCGGGCGGAGACGGGGGGGCTTGGCAAGCCAGCAACGGGGGCGATGCAGGGGGGATCACCCGACCCTAGCGATTTTGAGGAGAGCTTTGGCTTCCACGGCGACGACGACGACGGCGGCGTCGGCGCAGCGCGCCTCCGCGTCGAATTGGGGGCGGGCGGGGCGGAGGGGGGCGCGTCGCTTGAAGGCGGCGTTGAAGCTGCGGGCCCCGCGGCCCCGCTGGAGGCCCTTGCGCCCCTTTTGCCGCCGCCGCCCGAGCCGCCTGCCCCCCCCCCCGCGTTCCCGCCGCGCGCCCCCCCCCGTGGGTTGGGGGGGTGAGGGGCCGCCCCCCGATGCCGGCTTGCCTCGGCTGTCGCGAGTGCTCGCCCCAGCCCGTCGCTTGCCGAGAGGGCGTCTGCAGCTCGAGGCGGCGGTCGAGAGCGCTAGCCGTCCCGTGCCTCGTGCTGCCCCCGCCTGAACACGTCGAGCGAACGGGGCAGTTTTGGAGCTGCTCGCTGGGGCCGCCGGTTTCGCCGCCGCCGAGCAGTGCCTGGGCTTTCGGGCGGGGCCGACGTTCGAGTTGCTGCTTGGGTCTGGGTTCGACTTGAGCAGTAAGAACAGTGCAAAGTCCATCCTGGAGGAGATCAGAGAGGGGAAGATTCGACGCGCCCACCTGGGGGCCCCGTGCAGCATCTGGTCCGTGGCCCGAGGGGGCATGGGACATTCGGCAAGGGCGACGGCTCGGGAACACCTGGAAGTTGGTCTCGCTTTATGTGGTTTGAGAGTGCGCGCGATGTGGTGTGACTTCTGCCTGGGGGAATTCTCGTTCGTGCAGGTTGTGGCCTGGGGCCCCCGAAGGCCCGCCTCGTCTCGCTCGACGCGTGCATGTGCCGTGCTGATCGCAAGAAGCCAGCGTGCATCATGGCAAACTCAGAGCACATCGATCAGATAGCGTTGAAGTGCGAGAAACAACGTGTTCATGCACAATTGGTGGAGCGAGTCAATATAAGAGTGGGGGATGGGGTTCAACGCTGGGTTCTTCGTGCGAAGCTAGCTGGGGGGTTCCCAGAAGCCCTCTGCTCGCCCTTAGCCAGCGCTGTGGCTCGAGAAACTGGGGGCCGCGCGGGGCCCGCCTGCTCGGCCTTGGAGCCGACCTGGGCGCAAAACTGGATTCAGGAGCTTCGCGACGGCAGGTGTCGACCGACTCGCTCGACGGTCAACCGCGACGTGCTTGGGGTCGGCGATCTCGGAGCAGAGGGTGGTGGCGCGGCGCGGCAGGGCACCGGGTGCGTCGCGAGGCGCGGCGCGCTCGTCGGCCGTGCAAGCGCTGGGCGCGCGCGAGAAGCGGTCGAGGCAGGAGAAGCGCGCCCGCCGCCGCGAGACGGCGCGGCGTCGCGCCGAGCCGCGCCTGGCCGTGCCAGCAAGGGCTGGCGGCGGCGACGGCGCTGGCCTTCAGGTCGCGCCGAGCGAGGCGCTAGGGGCCCTGGCAGCGGGTGTTTGAGAAGGCGAGGCTGCTGGGCGACAGCGCAGTGGGCGGGCTGATGTGCGAGTATTTTGCAGAGAAATACTTGGCGGGAGAGGGCCCCGCGCGCCCGCGCGCTCCGGGGGTGCCCGCGCGCGGTCCGGCGCAGAGGCCTTCCGAGGACAGGCCCAACCACCGGCTGAGTTTGCACGACGTTCAGCAGAGAGGCCATTGGAAGAGCCACTCGTCCGTTGTGCGCGATGGGAAGCATAGTCGAGAGTGCACGGATGACCTCAGTGCAGCAGAGGCTCGGGACGCAGGCCTGGGTGCGAATTTCAAGCTTGCCGCGTTTCGCATAGGCGCGTTGATGCTTAACTTCGCGACGGCAAAACCAGTGTCACACTTATGGTGAGAGTTGTGGTGCGGCTCGAGCTTTTGACTTGAGATGCACATCGCGATATCTGACGCTGCTGGGTTGCCTGCCGAGCGAAGCCGTCGATCGCCCTTGGAGCAATGGTGCGAGGAAAATTGCCGCGCGAGGTTGAAGATAACTCTGACGTGGGAGATCGAGTGACAAAGCAGTTAGAGCTGGTGCTCGGAAGGAGTGCTGGGTGATGTTTCTAGCGTGTTGTTGCATCTATCGTGCGTGACATTGAAGCGCCGCCGTCTGTTGCTTCTGGTCTCCTGCAGACCCACCCTT